GCCACTACATATTCTACTTAACGGTTTTTCGCCCCCATTTGGGGACATTAAGAACACTTATAAACTAGAAAATTACTTGTCCAATAGCATTTCTTTTTTCCATCCTCCATAGCCTACACTCCTAAGTGTTTATGATGGCGCTTTACTGGTTCTAGTGACTAGAAGTCTTCCATGCTTATCTGCAGCTTCAAGTTTAACTTTCTGTTTTAACATGCAGAAGGAAAATAGCTCTCAACTGAGTTTGACAATTGCTTATGTTTAGATGAACGAGCCATGCTTAGGAATTATGAGAAGAAAAGCTATCATTAATTTTTATGAAACAAGTTGTGGAAACACTATTAATGCCAAAATATGAATACGAATATGATAGTATGTCTTGCTGTTTATGAAATTTCATCAAAAAGTGGTCATTCTATGATTAACGATAATAGAATATATCTGTATCTAAATAAATTGCATTTATTACGTATGCTGTATTTTTCATGAAAAGAATGGTTTGAAGTTTTTAGAAGTGAACAATGTGAAAACTTCAGATGGTATATTAGAATGCTTGAGTTTTTTCTAAAAGGTGTTTTTTCTCATAAAAATGGGAAGAATGATTATGATATTGATGTTGCTTGGTAATCCTTGATATTAATTCATAATTTTGTCTCAGTGCACCTGATAGTCTGATGTGCTCTCAATGATTTTAGGAGACCAAGGTGGACCAAGTGTTCAGTTATGTTGGGAAAAGAAATTGCTATAGAATGATTTACGGAAATGCACACAGCTTTTGGTTTTATAGGCTGTTCCGTTGTAAATTGCATTTTCATTTTGCTGCAAAGAGACAGTTTTTTAAAAGAAAATAACAAAACAATTGAGAAGAATGTTTCTTATGGAACTATATTTTATGTCTCTCATTGTGGTGAAGAGAGTTGTAGATAATTTTATATATTTGTGCACATTCTTCCTAGATATTATATCTAAATGTTGCCTAGTTGTGAGATTAACTAGGGGCGTTCCTTCTTTATTCAGGGAGTACCATACCCCTCTGTGCCTAGACGTAACAAACCTAAACGAGTTGATCTATACTATTCTAGCTGGTGTATTCGTGCAGGTAAGATGTTACATGTATCTTAGAGATCTATACTATTGCTATTTTTTCCCAAAAAAAAAAAAAATCCCTCTAATTTTAAATATAAGAGCTAGTTGAGGGGTTTATTTTGGTTTTAAATGTAAGACTGTAATTTACTTTGTCTCCTAAATTTATATATATATATATATATTTTTCATGCTATCCTTAATGATTGCACATAATAAAGAGATGTTTCCATCATTAAAGGTAGTTTTCAATCTAAATGATTAAAGGGGTATTTTAAAGAAACTAACAAACAGTTTTTCACAAGTAATGAACTCAACTATTTTTCATAATACTTGTATTTTCCTTAAAACCCGTGAATTAGTGATCTAGTTTTTATATTTAAGATTAGATAGAGTTTTTTTTTTTTTGTTACTAAAATAATCAACTATGATTTTTGAAAAGGTTACCAATATTTGTTTGGAAACATTACTACAGGGCATTGTTTGTTTTCAATTCTTGATTATTGGATTAAAAAGACAAACTTCTTTCTGAAACAGAGATCTTGCCCATGGAAGCGAATGAATATGTGTTAGATACTTCAATCTCCCTTGAATTTCCTTGATGCATGAACCCCTACAATTTATTTTCAAAACCTAATCAGACCTTGAACCCCTGCAATCTAACTTGAACTCAATGGTAGTGTTTTTTTTATTTTTCAAAGTGACGGAACAGGGGAGCAATCTTTTTTATATTTTTGTCATAGGAGGCCTTAGGGTCTGGGTCTGGGATGACTATAACAGTTTTAAGGTCTGTATTTGTTTGCTGCTATATTGATTTTAAAATGCTATGAGGACTAATATCTGCCTCTGTTTAATATATGGATCAGTTGAATCAAAGAAAACTGGTGAGATGACTGCATGTGAAGTGTTATTGTTTCACCATGAAGATATGGGTATACCCTGGGAAATAGCTAAGCTTGGAGTTCGTCAGGGAATGTGGGGAGCTGTGAAGAAGATTGACCCTGGACTACGAACGTATCAGAAAGAGAGGGCTTCAGGTGCTCCATTATCTCCTTCTGCCTGCATGGCTAATATCAACACAAAAGTAAGTGCAGACTATCTGAGATATCTGGAAAGCACAAGCAGTAGTAACAACAATATGCTGGAGATTGAGAATCAAGACTCTTCTAGCAAACCAGTTGGGAAGACCATACCGAAGCTTCTAGTTGTTGGGGGAGCTATTGCTCTTGCGTGCACCCTTGATCGAGGTCTCTTGACTAAGGCAGTCATATTTGGAGTTGCCAGGAGGTTTGCCAAAATTGGAAGAGGCTTGTGAAGTTGCAATGCAGAATGCATTCTGCATCACTGGAAAGGAGCGTTCAAGTCATATTGCCGAAGGAAAAGGGAAACACACCTAATTTATTGCCTTCAGGAAACTGCTCGTTGGCATTGTTTTTTCTACATTAGTTTTATTTCATATGGGCAGGCAGCTTTTAAGTGCAGGAAGGGAGCTTGTATATTGTTTTTGTAATTGAAGGTATCTCACACTTCAGGAATAACATCAATATTTGTTTTACTCCAGACACTTTCTTTTCTGTATATTGTTATTTTGGCGTTGGATTATCAAAGAGCAGTTCAGAGTATTTAAATTTTTGGGTCGCAATCTCGTTATGAGGATTGCATTCAGAGGCAAAGGAACGGAGATCTTACGCCGCAGAAGAGGCAGAAGTAGATTGAGACCGTCCATTAGATTTTGAATGCCTCACATGTCTCTGTATATATCGTTTGTTAAGGATTTCGGAGAGTTCAAATTTGATTACTATGCATGCTCCATTCCACTTTTACTGCCAAAACTAGTCGGTGGCAAGATTATAATATATATTTTCTTGTTAACATTTGCGCCTATTTATGTATTTTGAAAGAAACAAAATGCTGACTGAATGCTGAAATGTCTTTTTTTTTTTGGTTTTATGTTTTAGTAATGGTCTAAATTTGAAGTGATGTCAATTTACTGCTCGTGATAAGGAAAAGATCTTTGATTTTAATGTCTGAAATCTCATGATGCTTCTGTTGGCCCTTCCTTTATACTATACCATTAATTTCAAATATCTTATGCATCTTGGGGTGGAAAATAAAATGAAATAAAATCTCTCCAGAGGTAACGTGAAAGTCATTTCATATTTTTAGAGCAAAAATAGTGTACAATAATCTAGTATAAACTATAAATGGCTGTCAGCTTCTAAAGAGCTGATGCAGCCTTGATGATCATTTTGAAAATTAAAGATGTTGTTGCTTATTTGTGAAGCAAAATTTCAGTTGAAAGAACTAAAGAACACTGATATCTTTTTAACTGTGAATATAAAAACTATTGTTATGGAAAATCATAATACAGCATGATTGGATCTTTTTTCCCGGCGAAGATCCCTCAATCCCTCTGTGTCCGAGTCTTATGTCTACAAATTTGGAGACCGAATAAGTAAATATTACACTTAATCATTCATCAATTTTTGTAACACAATAATTCTAAAATTTTATTCTTAATAAATATTACACTTAATCTATTCAAATTTTCCCTAATATTCTAATATAGTTGATCTTAGGTGAAATTTTGACAATTTAAAAATTCTCTCAACTCAAATATCATCAATATCATCCTATAATCAATATATGCATTTAAAAAATAATTTAATTTTTTTATATTATATCATATATCCATTGAAGTATTATTTTTTTTTTGCTTATTATTATTTTTTTGTTAACACTTCTTTTAATATCTTCAATTATGAAAATAAATTAAGATCATCCGTGTCACATAGTTTTTTTCAACTCATCATGATCTAAAATTGTGGGGGTTCAAATTATATATATATTATCACTTTTTTTTTTTACTGAGCAGAAGAAAAAATGGTCTTATATGTATTAAAAACTACTAATACACAAAACAAATCAAATAAAAGTGTGATCTTATACCTAAAATTTTTTATATTAAAAATTATTTTTCTATAATATCTTACATTTAATTAAATTCATACTTTTCATATGTTTTGATACTTCTTGTACTAACTAATATGTCCTTCACAGAAATGAAACTTAAATATCTATAACTTAAATGAACTTATAATTCATGTGAGCCTAAGGTAAAGAGTCTTGAGGGTGTTTGGTTACAGTAGACAAAATAACTATACAAAAAAATTTGTTTCATTTTATAAAAAAATACTTTTTATAAACACTTTTTAGTATTGTCAAGCGCCCTTAGCTTAAAGGTAGCCGCTGCTCTGTGCGTCCCATATTCTAGCTTGTAATGCATTGTATTCTTTCTTTTGTTTGTATTATTATAATTATTTGGCTGTCTCTGCCAAATTGTGCTGCGATCCGCAAAAAATAAGAAAAATAAATAGCCCATCAAAATTCAGATTTTTGGAAAATTAGACTTAGAGCAGGGGCTATTCATGAGTGGGATTTCTGGCGTCCCTTTCTTATGATGTTGCGGGAAGTGGGCCCCCCACTTTCCCCTTCGCTTCACTCTTGCCGTCCGTTCCTGAGGCGGAGGGCCCTACCACTTTGTCGTCTTCTCTCTAGGTTTTTGCAATTTTTCATTTTCCTTCTTGGGAATCGCAAAACAAATTAAGTGAGGGGTTGTTGATTTTTGAGAATCGTTCAAGTCACACATCGAAGGCCACTTGATTTTCGCCTTGAACATTAAAAAAAGAAATCAGATTTTTAAGGGCGCGAATAGACTTGTTAGTACGCAAATTGTTGAACGCCACAGTCCCACGCCCACGTGAGCAGACCAGTGGAAATGGGTTGGGATTGAGAAAAAAAGAGATATTTTATTTGCATTTTAGCATATTCCCATGAATTATAATTATGATTGTCCTAATTGTGAGTCAAGTAATTACTGAAATAAGAGAAATACGTTTGAGGCTGCCTATCATAAAACCACTCACGAGTGGACGTGTCGAGGTACTGGGCTCTACAAAAGGAGGATCTTTCATGAGGTGGGAGAGGGTGAGTGAGTGGGAGTGAGGCAAAGACACTTGTTTGAGGCCGTTCACCTTTCACAGCTTCCGTTTCCATACTCTCCTGAGTCATTCAGCAGAGCTACATTATCTTGCAGTTGCAGGTCTGATCCTATCTTCTCTTGTAATCTGCGATTCTGGGGTTCGTTTCATGTTAATTGAATCACATATTTGAAATCTCATTCACTTCATTATTTACAAATATTAAACCTTTGTTACTTGTTACGCTGATCACTCTTGCACCTCAGGCTTAACGTACTGTTCTAGTATCCCCCCCCCCCTCCTTCATTTGTTCATCACAACCATTATATTGCATCACTACGATTATTATCGTTCGATTTTTTCTTGCCTTTCATCACTACTGCTATACTATACCCCTCGAGTTCCTTGCTCTGCTAAAGAATGCATCATTGTTAATCTGTATTTTTATTTTTTGCAGAAGGCTTCTTGATCCGCATTCACGATATCATCCATGGCAACCTTCACTGGATCCTCCTTTTTAATATCCAGAAGCCCCTGCTTGAGGCAACAAGGAAGCCAGAAAACAGAGGCCAAAGCAAATTCATGTCTTGTTGGTGCTTACAACCAGGCTGTGACCCATGATGGGTTGAGATCTCTGAACGTGCTTAAGGTTCGAACCCATGCAATCAAAGCTAATGCAAGAATGAACAAAGATGAGTCTGGCAAGGATCAAGAACAGCCTGTTGGGAAAATTTTGTGTGGCCATGGGATGAATTTGGTGTTCGTGGCAGCTGAGGTTGGACCCTGGAGCAAAACCGGTGGTCTTGGTGATGTTGTTGGGGGACTTCCACCAGCTTTGGCCGTAATTGATTTCCTTCAGTTTTCAATCTCTCTGTCTTCCCATTTCATTCTATTTGTTCACTGTGATTATTTATGTATATTCTCATGATCAAGCTTTATGCAAATGAAAACAGGCAAAAGGACACCGTGTTATGACTGTGTCACCCCGTTATGACCAGTACAAAGACGCATGGGACACGAGTGTCTTAGTTGAGGTAAATATTTAGGCCCATTTGGTGCTTTCTAACTTATGTTCTCGTTCATGATTTTACTTATGCACACACAATTTTCAGATCAAGGTTGGAGATAAATACGAAACTGTCCGATTTTTCCACTGCTACAAGCGAGGTGTGGACCGTGTTTTCGTTGATCATCCTATGTTCTTGGAGAAGGTTATTTGAGTTATTTTACTGTCATCAACCATTTTTCGTGATACCAAAATTTATGGGGTTCAGGACTGGTATGCCTGGAACAGTTCAATTGATGTTTCCCTCATTTCAAATTTGAAAGGTCTGGGGCAAAACCGGGTCCAAGCTCTATGGTCCCAGGACTGGACTGGATTACAAGGATAACCAGCTGAGATTTAGCTTGTTGTGCCAGGTACCATGCCCTTTAAAAAATTTTACTTTCTTAATATTCTTCATGGTAAACCATACTTTTTCTTTGGACAAGTGCCCAAAAGTCGTCTAGCTTATATTTCACTTGGTCATTATTTTGCTTAACACATTATATATGTTATGAACTTATGATTTGTACCCCTAATCATGTTCTGATGCTTGCATTGCCCCTGCATAGTTGCACTATTTTCAATCTACTCTGAGTTGTGTGCCGTCTCTATGGTTCGACTCTAATAATGCGTTTGACTAACCTCGTAAATGATGTAAACTTAAGTTATTCTATGCATAGGCAAGAGTTTAATATCGCTGCACAGATTTGAATTGCATTATCCCAACAGCTGACGTTGGTGTGGGAAGAAAGAGATAAATTCCTACTCTCTCTTTCAGTATTTAGTCCCACTGCAGTGGATACGATCACTCGATTTTGGGTTAATTTTATCACGTTGGTTGCAGAGTACATTCATAAAATAGACCTCTATGTTGAGGAAAGAATGCAATTTAAGAGTTTCATGGTTATACTATCTTACTATAGGTTTAGTGCTACTTGTATTTGGCTTCATCTGGACTCTACATCTCATTATATAAAAATGTTTAATAAATTTCAGGCTGCACTTGAGGCACCTAGGGTTCTGAACTTAAACAGCAGTAAATACTTCTCAGGACCATATGGTGCGCATTCCTTGTTGATTCCTTGACCTTATTAACTTTGATTTATGATAAATCACTGAAAGAAGTTTACAAGCTTTTCCTATCGTCCTGCAGGGGAAGATGTAGTCTTTGTTGCTAACGATTGGCACAGTGCTCTTCTTCCATGCTACTTGAAATCAATGTACAAATCAAGGGGGATTTACCAAAATGCAAAGGTAAGGGTTCCTTTCTTCTCAGGGAATATTTTATATCAAATATATATTTTCCCATTTGGACCTTTTTACCCTTCACTTCTGTGCAATCTAACTATCCTTGGTCAATCTTGGTAGGTTGTCTTCTGTATTCACAACATAGCTTACCAGGGCAGACACGCATTTGCCGACTTTGCTCTTCTCAATTTACCCAATGAATTCAAGAGCTCCTTTGACTTTATTGATGGGTACGATACGTAAAACTTCTCAATACATTCATTGGAACAAGGGTCTTAATGCTGTGTTTATATAACTAGTAAACTATTCTATCACCAAATGTGCTGATTTCTTTTCTTTTCATTTTTTTTTTGGGTTATTTTTTCTTTGACAGATACGATAAGCCTGCGAAGGGAAGGAAAATTAACTGGATGAAAGCTGGAATACTAGAGTCAGACCGAGTCTTGACTGTAAGCCCATACTATGCTCAGGAGCTTATCTCAGGAGTAGAACGGGGTGTGGAGTTGGACAACATTATTCGTAAAACTGGCATTACTGGTATTGTTAATGGCATGGATATTCAAGAATGGAACCCAGGAACTGACAAGTACACTGGCTTGAAATACGATGCAACAACTGTGAGTTCCTCCTCTGATTTTTTTGCCTTCACAATTGTCATGAGCAGAGGAAATCAGTGCTCATCATAATTGTCCTGTTTAGGTCATGGAAGCAAAAGCTCTGTTGAAGGAAGCCCTTCAAGCAGAAGTTGGCTTGCCCGTTGATAGGAACATCCCTTTGATAGGGTTCATTGGTAGGCTAGAAGAGCAGAAAGGTTCAGACATTCTATCAGCTGCCATCCCCAAGTTCATCAATCAGAATGTTCAGATCGTAGTTCTTGTAAGTCATTAGATTCTCTTCCTCCAAAAATAATAATAATAATAATAACAACCCTCCTTATTCGTTTATATTCATCCGTAGTACTGATACTGCCAATGCTGATGATAAATGTCCCTAATTTCTTCAGGGAACTGGGAAGAGGCCCATGGAGGCAGAACTTGAGCAACTAGAGGTGAAGTATCCGGACAAGGCTATAGGAGTGGCAAAATTCAACGCTCCCTGGCTCACAAGATTATTGCTGGAGCTGATTTCATTATTATCCCAAGTAGATTTGAGCCATGTGGTCTCATTCAGTTGCACTCTATGCCATATGGAACGGTAGGGCTGTTATGTCTTTCTCCTGATCAATCTCATCTCTCAGTCTGTTCCATGTTTAATTATACACTCATGTTTGCCGCATCACAACAGGTGCCCATTGTTTCCTCAACTGGTGGACTTGTTGACACTGTAAAAGAAGGGCACACTGGATTCCACATGGGACTATTCCACGTAGAAGTAAGTGAAACAAATTCCCTTGTCTCTTGATGATGGGGGTGAAAATAATGGACTATTAACCCTTGAGTTTTCTACAGTGTGATACCGTCGATCCAGCTGACGTGGACAAGGTAGCATCTACAGTCACAAGAGCCCTCAAGGCCTACGGTACACCTGTCATGAAGGAGATGATCCAGAACTGCATGGCCCAGGACTTTTCATGGAAGGTCAGTGTTGTGATCAAATCACAGAACCAAATCAGGAAAATGAGTCATATTTCATCCAAGTTCTAACTAACAGTTGAAATGTGTGATACAGGAACCAGCCAAGCAATGGGAGAAGCTGCTACTGAGCATGGAGGTAGCTGGCAGCGAACCTGGAATTGATGGCGCGGAGATTGCTCCACTTGCTAAGGAAAACGTTGCCACTCCTTGAACTGCATCGTCCCCCCCCCCCCCCGGGCCCTTTACCATTTTGACTTGTAAGTAATATAGCCATAATTAGCCATCCATAATTCACCACCGCCGAGTTCTTAGGTTGGTGAACCAGTAAGGGGTTTTCTTTTCTTTTCTTTTCTTTTTTCTTTTTTTTTTGGCCTTAGCAAAGGATAAAGCTATTACTAGCTGTCGTGTGCTTTCTTGGAGCTGTAAGGTCTTTTGGAAGTGAATTAAGAACTGGTACGTTTTGCAGAGTTGCTCTATTTTTAAGATATGATGTGTGCCTTATTTTAATCTCGCATTTGATGCCAACTAGTTTTAAACCCAATCCAGAAAGAGGGGAGCACAGTAAACAACTAGAGAATTCCAATGCTAAGCTAATCAGATCCAACGTACAAATAAAGCTTCATGCTAATAAGCAGCTAGAAATTTATGGATACAAATTACAATATAGCTTTATTGGGAACAGCTATGGATTCATCTAAACATACAAGAACAAGGAAAGAAGTTACTCTGGAGGGCTTGAGGCGGTGCGAGATGCACCATCCTCGCACATACTCAAAGTGATTATAGCATAATGATGCTGATGATCCATGGACTCCAGGACCAAGTTTCTTAACTGTAAAGGAGTATTAAATAATATGATGGCCCAAAAATAGTTATACCCAATCAAAAAGGCAGGAAAAAAAAGAGAAAAAAAGGAAGCGTAAACAGCCGGCTTGATCTGAGAAATGACGATCATGTGAAAGTGGTGAGGGAACAAATTGATTGGGTCCCACTGGAGCAGCGTCCAAACCTCCATTGTTACAATTATGATTATGATGGTCGTCATCATCACCGTCCATCACAACCACGTCAACATGATCAGCATCCTAAACTCCGAATTTCCTGTTAATAGCCGCCTCTCAGGAGCCTAAAATATCTTATCATGGAGCGCTAAACAATAATATCAGACTAAGGGAATTTGTTCTCCTTAAGTTTCTTCTTTCTGAACCAGAGACAGATTAGATTGGCAGTCTCATTGGTTCCTTCCCTTCAGCATCTGTTTCTGAACAATTTAATTAATGTTATTCTTATTCTATTAATATTTCACCTTCCGTAGTTTTAGTTATAACTTGCAACTACTCTGTCTCTGTCTGTCAAGCTGTGTGTGTGGGAGGGGTCCGAGAGACAGAGACAGAGGCACTAGTATTGCTCTCCAGTCTCACATTCACGTCAGTGATCAGTACATCTAAGTTGTTCATGATCAATTCTCATTGAAGAGATTAGGAAGATTTGTCGTACTCACTGATCTTGCCAATTTCCGTCTTGACCGTTGTGTGTCTGTTTCTTTTCCCATTTATAGTACTCATTCAATTCATTGTTGCCTTTCTACAAAATAAAGATCCATGGAGTTTGCTAGATTCCTTGGCAGCTCTTGTTGGACGGTAGGAATTTTGATCTCAGGTAATGTGATCGAAGATAAGGTAAATGATTTGGTTTGATGCGTTTATGCGTGTGAAAAGGTTAATCTCATTGTTGATTTTTTCATGGGTGAGTGTAGGATTTGTGCTTGCAGAAATGGAAATGGTGGCTGCAGTTGGGATCAACTATGGACAAATAGGAAACAATCTGCCTTCGCCGGACGAGGTGGTGCCGCTGATAAAGTCGGTCGGCGCCACCAAGGTGAAGCTATACGACGCGGATCCGCGTGTGCTTCGTGCATTTGCTAATACTGGAGTTGAATTCATGGTAGGGCTGGGGAATGAGTACCTATCAAAGATGCAAGATCCAAAGCAAGCTCAAGCCTGGATTAAATCAAACGTGCAACCATACTTGCCGGACACCAAGATCACTTGCATCTTCGTGGGAAACGAGGTTTTAACCTTCAACGATACTTCTCTCAGCCACAGCCTGCTTCCAGCGATGCAGGGTGTTCACACGGCGCTCGTCAATCTCGGGCTTGACAAGCAGGTATCGGTGACCACCACGCACTCTCTGGCGGTTCTGGAAACCTCTTACCCACCTTCCGCCGGAGCATTTCGTTCCGATCTCACTTCATGCCTCACTCCCATCTTGAGCTTCCACGCCAAAACTGGATCTCCTTTTCTCATAAATGCATACCCTTACTTCGCCTACAAGGCCAATCCCAAGCAAGTGGACCTTGATTTTGTACTGTTTCAGCCTAATGAAGGGGTTGTGGATCCTTCCTCGAATCTGCATTACGATAACATGTTGTTTGCCCAGATTGATGCTGTTTACTCAGCCCTGGCATCTTTGGGTTACGGCAAGTTGTCAGTTCATATTTCAGAGACTGGCTGGCCTTCCAAAGGAGACGATGACGAAGCCGGCGCCACCCCGGAGAATGCCAAGAAATATAATGGCAATCTGATCAAGCTCATTGCGCACAACCAGAAGAAGGGAACGCCCATGAAGCCTAACAGCGATTTGAATATTTACGTCTTTGCGCTCTTCAATGAGAATATGAAGCCCGGACCGACTTCCGAGAGGAATTACGGTCTTTTTAATCCCGATGGCACTCCGGCGTATTCCCTCGGCTTATCTGGAAGTGACGTCTCTACCAACACTTCCTCCTCCTCCTCCCCCACTTCTCCTGCCGGATCCTCCTCCTCCTCCTCCACCACCACCACCCCTGATTCAGGCACTCCGCCGTTGCCTACCACTTCCTCCACCGGTTACATGGCCATTTCCTCCGCTCAGGTTCGTTCAGTTGCTTGCCATTTTTTAATTATTTTAATTTTCAAAGCAAAAAACTAGGCAGGATTCGATTCCCCTTTCGCTTCCTTTCCTTTCTTTTGGTTCACTTTTTCTCTAGGCTCTGTAGCACATGGCACTGTTAGGTACGTGTCGTAGAGACTACTGACTAGTGGTCCTACGTATATGCCTTACCATTTAAATCAGATGTTGAATGGAGCGTAATTGTGGACATGTGTCTTAGGTCGGAAGTGTCGATAAGATTTGGTAAAACAAAACCACCCACCCCCATGTGACGAAGTTGATGATCGTTGAGTCAAAATGAAACAGAGTTTCCCGTTCTGTCATACTAATTTTTTTTGTTATATCTATCTCAGATGAATCAGATCACTTCTTGATACCGAAACTGCAAATTTCTTGGACTGACATTTATGTTTGCTTGAACTGTTTCAGGAGAGTTACCATTTGTTTTGGCCTGTATCCTTTTTGCTGCCATGGGCGATGCTGAAGCTGATCTTTTACAGGTTGTGAACATTCTTTTCCATAATCCAGCTGTCAGAATCTGGGGAAAAAAAAACGGAAAAAGAAATAGCAGTGTTAGTGTTGGCGGTGGAAAAAGAAGAGAGAGAGTAAAGTGGTGAGTCAGAATGGAGGAGAGAGAGGGAGGAGCCATACTGTCATCTTTCCTTTGCTTGTACGCTACTGGTGGTGTTCTTGAACTTTATCAAGCCCGGGTAACAAGGCGCGACTAACTCGTCATTGGATTCGTTGCCCACTTGGATTCATAATGGAAGTCTGCGTCATCATGATTTGGGCCTCCAGATACTTAGACTTTGCAGTTATACCTTGCCACGAGTCTGGGTCTTAGAAGTAAAATAATGTTGTACTGCTTTTATTTATTTATTATTGACTTCCATTTTACAATCAGAGTTTTTTTTTTTTTTGGGGCCATGGATGGGAGGGAGTCTAGTGTTACATTTTTAAATTTACTTTGTACTATTAATTTAAGTGAAAATGAATTTGGAGGTCATTATAATTTACCTCAATTTTGAATTAAGTCCCTACACTTTGTTTTTTATTGACTCCTTAAACTTTCAAAATCCCTGCTGTTAAATAAGTGCTAACATCATCAAAAATTGCCGTTAACATGCACTGATCAATGATCCATCATCCATATTTGAATTATAGCCTTCATCATCGTCCAGGTAGACTCCGGTTTCAAGCCTCTAGTGATTGAGCTTTCCCTTGCCCACACTGGAGTAACCCACAAAAAAGTTTGCTAGCACGCTTCCGCCTTCTTCTTCTTCTTCTTGAATAATACAAGGCAAGAAAACTTGATTTAATAGTTTGTAGCTGACATATTAGCTAAAGCCATATCGTCTTGTAGTCGTGTTAAGCACTCCTATGGGGGGTTTTGCTAATAGACCATTTCTTCATATATGAGTGGTGCCTTTTTGGCCATTAGATTTGCATATTAGAGTGCATTCCTTGGTGCATATTTGATGCTAATATCCCAATATGAATAGATTAGTTCTTTGATCTCGGCTATCTCAGTATGCAAAAAGTGATTTGCTCCTCCTTCAGTTTCAATCAGCCTAATGGCTTCTATAGAATCAATGAAAACCATGATCTTGCTGAATCCTTGCTGTTTATACATCTGCAGACCTTTTAGCAAGGCCATCAATTCAGTCGCAGTCAGTGGGAGGAGTCCCAGTCGTCTCTGAAAACCTATGCACCATCTACTTGATGTATCTTTGACTAACTAAGCCATCTACGTCAGGTCTCACAAAGCCTTCTGGTGGGGGCCTCCAAGTTTCTTCGCTATTCACTGTAGGACTAAAAATTATGTGCTGTAGTCTTTCTCTTTCCGTAGTCTCCATTAACTAGTAGAGTATTGTGTGCCTAACTTCCTTGGCTGAGTATCGTCAACCTTCAAGTACACCTCTGCATCTGTTCTTCCAAATGAGCCAGCATGTTGTGGTAGAGACCTTGGCCCATATCCACTTTGAGAAGTACGTATTTCCCGCTCCTTTTGAAAGGTTCTCCTTCATCCAGACTTCTCTGGCAATTTCATAATCTCTTAGAATATGTAAAGTGTTTTCCTCCCTTAAACACTCAAAAGGACACTCTTCACTAGTTTGGATGCCTCTTTGTTTTTGAAGTGCATTGGTAGGAAGTCTCTCTTGAATTGCTTGCCCAATGAAAAATTTCATTTTCTCTGGCACCGGAAGTTTCCAAATTGTCTTCCACTGAGCTCTAATATCTGTGTGAGCATTTTTGAAAACCATATTGTAGGCAGTCTTAACACTGAAATTCCCATCAATAGCTGGTCACCAATTGAATTTGTCTTCCTCACTGCTACTCGGTACCTTCATCTTCTCTAGCATTGCAACAACTTCATGGGAAGAAGTCCCTCCACCTATGTATGTTCCAAAGACCGTTAGGGAGGATGAATTGGCTCACCTTTTCACCAGGAGTAATGTTTGCTATATTTCTTCCTGCTAGGTGTATCAGTGGTATTTCTATCGGTGTCCATAGATCCCACCAGAAGTGGGTTTGATTGCTGCTTTCAATGCGCCACCCCACACCTTGATAGAATTGGTCCCACACTTTTGCGATGCTATTCCAAATTGTTGAGGCATTCTGTTTTTTGCAAACCACAGGGTACATTCCATCACTACATTTATATTTATTTCTCAAGCATTGCACCCACAGTGCTCCAGGCTTAATAAGGATTCCCCAATACAGCTTCATAATAAAAGTGATATTCTGCCTTTGAAGATCTTTCATTCCTAGCCCTCCATTCATCTTATCCTGTTTAATTCTGTCCCACAAGATTAAATGCATTTTCTGCCCTGTCGGATTTTGGTTCCATAAAAACTTCCTGCTTGCTTTCTCTATTTCTTTAAGGACACATTTGGGAAGAAGCATTGTCTACATATAGTAACTTGGAAGTACGAAGATAACTGACTTAATAAGTGTTGATCGTCCTGCCATTGAGAGAAAGTTGCTCTTCCAAGAAGCTAGCCGGGCACGAACACGCTGAGTGACAAGGAAATACATAGCCTTTGTCACTCTTTTATGGAGCAGGGAAACCCCTAGATATTTCCCTAAATCAGTTATAATCCCAACTCCCAAGTTGTGGCTGAGTTCTCTAGCTCTATTGAAACAAACGTTCCTCGAAAAGCATGCTTTGGACTTCATGGCCCGACACAGCACAAAATATTCTCATATCACTGCCGAGCAACTAAAGCGGTTGATAGCGTATTCTCCTTCAATTGTCCAGGTGGGGGGGGGGGATCTGCTTCAGTTAATAGCTTGTTACGCTTGTGAAAATAAAAAGTATTACTCATTTTTGACTCAGTTATCATCAAACATTTTGCTAAATAAGTCAGCTTTTCGTTCCACAATTTAAGAGCACAAATTATGTTAAAATATTGTTAAATATTTAATCTAATCTTCTTTCAGCATCTTCTAACTTCTCTTAGGTATCATCATGACTCAAGTTTTTTGTTTGTTCGAACCTATCAGTTCAACTCCTTAAATTCTGAGTTCGTCTGTCTGTGCCATCTCGAGACACGCACAGTCCCCTTTAAGGGAACATCGGTTGCGGCATTTGTCCCAAGGCACCTTTAGACTCAAATTAAATAATTCAACTCATTAATATAAAACTCAAATGATTAATTGGAAGAGATCAAAAAAATTATTCAATTACTTTGAAGTTCATTTTTCTCCTAACTAAATCGGCTCATCTATAAATTCATATATAATATAACAATATACAACTACCTTAATTCATATATAATATAATAATATACAACTGCCTTAAAAAAATCATGTAATATATATTAATAATTAAGTAATTTATTAATTTTTTTATATTAACCAACAGAAATAGCACATTAGATGCTGCTTATCTCACATGCATTGTAAGTAGGCTAACATATGTTCGGTTACAGATTCCCCAAAACCAAGAATAAGGAAAAGTTTGGTACAAATTCTTCCTCAAACGCGAAGCTACATTCAGGGTATGCTTGTTATAACAGCGATAATCATATTTTGCCCCATACAATCAAATGAAATACCAGAAAATCAATCAATGAGCAATTTCGTAGGCTGCCAAAATTTTTCTAACTAGAAATTCTGTCAATCATACAGGAATAGATGATTAATCCTACACCAACCCTCCATGTTTTGGCTGGATCCTCGCCAAAAAAATTTTACTAACCGCCATGCCTAGCGCAATGGTACTGTGTCTTCAGGATCTAGGCGACCCAGTTTGCACTGAATAACGACATAACTATGCACCAGAAAACTATGCTCTGACTGGCATAAGTTCCAACATCCTGACAAGGAGGAAAATCAGGGAATAACGCAGAGTCATCAGTCATTGCCTTCAAGAAATTGTGTGACCCTTAGATGTCTCCCCCTCCGTTGAGGCTACTCTTTGATAAAATAACACATAAGCGGCTGAAGATTTAATTTCCGCTTCAGCCACCGGGGTGACATGACTGTCATCGAAATGATACCATCGGTTTTCATCGATCAACTGTACAAGATTGATTTAGTGAAAAGCGGCGTCAAATAAAGCATACCAAACGGGTGTAATGACACAGGTTAGAAAAGCAATAACCTTCACAAAATCCAGTAGGATTAAAAATCAAGAGATCACTTACCTTTGCGTAGGCAGTGTAGTGCCCACCCCCTAGGCCTCCATAATGGTTGCTGATTGCGTAAAGGTCATAAACGCAAGACTGTCCATCATTGCTTTTCACGTATTTGGTCAAATTGAGATTGTGGATGGGAAAATTTACAAATGTGTCGAGTTTGTTTTTCAAATATCTGCTGTATGAGAATCTCTTTAAGTGAAATACGAGTATATCTGGCAATTTCCACAAGTCTAGTTTCTTGGTAGCTTGTCTGTGCTCCTTGCATCTAGGACAGTACCTGATTAAATATTTTAAGGATAGGTTAGATGAATATATTTTCCAAAAGCTCGTTATCACATGAAGGTCCAATTAAAGGAAATTTAGCCCCTCTTACCACATGTCATCAGGGCCCAAAGGCTCTTCAGTTAAAAATGCCTCCAAGCATGAAAATAAAGAAATGGCTTCTTGCCGGGTTTTTTTCACAGTAAAGCCTGTCTTGTGAACCTCAGGCAGATCCCTGAGATAGCTGGCATCATATAACTCATGTTCTTTATCAGTCCAGTCAAGAAAAACTCTAATAATTGGACCAGGTTTTATAGGAGAATCCTTCTCTATGAGAGCACAGCTCAAAGGTCTATCTGAAGATAAAACAAGCTGGAAAGACATCTCCCCACTGGGATTCCCCGGTTTTTTTTGGCCGTCACTTGTCTGGTACCTTGGTACACATTCCGTATTGGATTCATTTACTTGATTACCACCACCTGCTAAGAAACCATTTTCCTTTTCGTTATGAGAGTTAGAAGAATAAGCTCTTCTTAGAGGCAACAGCATTCTGTCAACATAGGTCTCAATGTTGGCCCCATATAGAGGCTCCTCTGCCAAATAAGTCACCAAGGGAGTTCCAAAGAGCTTCCTCTCTCCACCCTTGGTATTGTCCAGCGAACATCTGGGTAATTGAAGCATTTAGATCAACCAAGAATAAAGTAATGAAAGCATATGCTTTGCAAATGCATCAGGAACAAGTCAGTGAAATCTCTCTAACATTCAGTTCTGCAGTCATGCTATGGAAAACATCCCTCTCCCTCTCCTCTCTCTCTCATTAAGCCTCATAAGCATATGTTTGTGGTTAGAGTCCCATGAGAAATCCTGAGTAGCAAGTATCAACTTCAATCATACAATGGCACCTACAAGAATCTGTAGAGCTTAAAACACCCAGCAACGGTGACCCTAAGCAGCGCATTATAAATATTCTAGGAAAATAATCTTCCAACAGATTGCAGTTTTAAGAAATATAATGAAGGATAGGAGATGCATATTAATGAAGGCAGGTACCACATCTGTACGCTCATTGTCTCACCATAATGCATTAGAAAATTAACTACTTCAATTTTGTTTCCTATTTGCCCAGAAATCCTTATTTTCAAG